TTAAATAAGAATGCAAATATAAAGAATAATTAAAAATAAATTGTGATAATTTTTTTGATAAAAAGTGATGAGCATTATCTGATTTTTAAAGGTTGATAAAGAATAACTAGATTATTCTTTGAATAATTAAAAACTTAAATAAGAATTGATTGATTATTCTTGAAGTTTTAAAGTCGAAAAAAATGATGGGTTATTCTATGAATTTCTAAAGTTGCATAATGATAAATGATATATTCTATGAGAATACAGATAAAATGAAAAAAAAAAATATTTGTTACTATTTGTTGAAGGATAAATGTGTCATCGTCAAAAGGATATGACGATAAAGATATACATATTAGAATTAGATTATAATTATGCATCTCATAGTTATCTTTTTATAACCTTCCCTATTTAATGGGATAATGATTAATGAGAAGTGATGTTTTTCTGATTCTCTATATCGATTGTTCTACAACACGTTATCAGCACGAAAACTTGTAAATTAGCCACTGTTGTCCGACAGTTATGTTGCTCGCTAGTGCTGAAAAACGACTTGCATCATACGTCTTCAATACAAGTAGGTATCTTTATATTTGTCATCTCTATATATACATATATGAAGTCTTACGTATTGTGTGCTTGTGATATATATTTTTTGTGCTACTTCTGTAATCTTCATTTTCCCTATGATATATATATATATATATATATATATATATATATAGACTTGGGATCATATGAGACCAGCCTGTTTTCGTGAGACTCGTGAGACCACCAAAATGCTGTGAAGATGACCTTCACAGTGTTTTTGCTGTAAAGTTTACGTGTAAAAATATGGTCTTATGGGTCTCACGAAAACAAGTAGATCTTACGTGAACCCAACCTCCTCTCTCTCTCTCTCTCTCTCTATATATATATATATATATATACTACTGTTTTTGATTGAAATGGAAGGCAATAATGGTCAGTAGCACTCGTACTGTGAATATGATGCTGTTTGGATGTCGTGGAGAATCCAAAACCTCTTACTTGGTCAAAAAAGATAAGATTTTTAGGTGAAGGATAAAAATGCAATCAAGTATTTAGGGGCCACAAAAATGTTGATAAAAAGGAGAATATAAGTAAGCAGAATTGCTTTCCAAATCCTATTTTTTGCAGCCATTTAAGTTCAGCCAACAGCTTGAGATGAAATAAATACATGTTTGCAGCCCTTCTTTCAGGATGAACTTTGTTAATGTATGTATGTAATTTGAGAAATTGGGTGTAATTTATCCTGTTGCTGCTGTACACATGTTTTTATATATATATACTCATTGTTTCTTTAAGAGGTGTTGAAGCCTGAAGTCTTATTTCACTTCAGCTTCTCCCGGCTAATCAAACAACAATGAAGGAACTTAAACCCCACCTTCATCTCTATTCTATATCCCGTTTTTAGCAAAATGTGATGCAGATGCGTAGTGATCACAAACAATATAGAAAAAAAGTCAACAGCCGAGATTCTTAGGAGCTACTATATGTACCGCGAGTGTCGACCAAGCTGCAAACCCATGATTGGCCGTAAAACGTGCGGCTAAATATTTTACGATAACATGTTAAGCAAAAAAAAAAGTAACCGATGATAAGAAAGAGTGTTTACCATGCTACTGTAGCTGTAGTTGGGGGTGATTTGTCTTCAGACCGAAAAATTTCCAAACCTTGTAACGATAAAATACTCGGTGGAAGATTATCTATCCGTGTACCTCTTATATCTAAGTATTCTAAACATCCTAAACGTCCGAGTTCCTCAGGCAATTCTTCAACTCTATTACAGTAGAAGCTAGGACTTAATTTATATGACCAAAATATAAAACGTCTTATCTAAAGACGTTAAAGTAAGTTTATATGACGCTTTCAAGCGTCTTAACAAATTTTTAAAACATTTTAAATATAAAGCGTCACATTAACAACTTTATAGGACACTTCTGAGAAAGTGTCCTATAAATTCAATTTTTTACAAGACACTTATTTTATAGGACGGTTTTTCAAATAGTATCCTAGAAAATTACTAACGGGACGTTTTATATTAAAAGTGTCCTAAAAACTTATTAAAACGTCAAAAAAACGTTATATAAACTTATTACAACATCTTTAGATAGGACACTTTATTTTTTGGTCCTATAAAGTAGTCTATTAGGACGCTTAGAAATTAGGAGCATCCTATAAACCCGATTTTGTTGTAGTAAACGTCTTACAAAGACAACTCCCCTATAAAAATAAGTTAAGAATGTCCCAAAAGCATGTTAATTAGATAGGAAAAACTTTGTTGGCTTAATGTGTAAGGAATGATTGCAATGAAAAGTAGATGAGATGCTCACATGTATAACCCTCATTAAATTACAGATTTAGTCCCTGTGGATATATGAAACTTACAGATTGATCCCTCCCTAAAAGAAAGTATGGAGAGAATCTGGTTTGATGAAATATTTAAAAATTCTTGTTCGTAATTTCTTTTCATTTAATTTTTTTATTGTATATTAGTATTTTATTAGAATTTAATAATTATCTTAAATATATTTTAGATTTTTTATATTTAAAATGAGATACTTATCCAATGTTTGATTATATTTATCTTCAATTAGTCACACAAATTCAAAAATAGAGCTTTAATAAGTTGTATATACGCACAATTTACTTGTAATCTTGAAGTTTAAGTAATATGTACCAATAAACAATATTTAATATATAAAAAATGGTTTTTAAAAGTTTTTTTTTTTGTCAAATATTTTATAATATAGTTAGAATTAGTACAAAAATTATGGATTAGTAATTACAAAAATATACTCTATATTATTTCATTTCTTGTTTTCTTATAATTTTTTATGCGAAAAAATTCAAAAAAACCACAACAAACTATCTCATTTTCAATGTTTAAGTTTCTGAACTATTTTTTTGAAAGAAAAAATTATTAAATTTTCTCATTTTGAATGATTAAGTCTCTGATCTGTTTTTTGGATAAAAAAATCATTAAACTTTCTTTTTTGAATGAAAAAACTATTAAACGTTTTCATTTTGATTGATCAAGCCTCCAAAAAAATTTAAAATAAATAAATCATCTCACTAATAAAAATTAGTTACATAATTCTTTTAACCAAAAAAATAGATTAATCAACTAGTAAAAGTCCATGGTTTTTTTTTAGATCAGGGTCTTAATCATTCAAAATGTGAAAGTTTAATGGTTTTTCATTTTAAAAATTGTTCATGACTTAATCTTTCAAAATGAAAAAGTTTAATGATTTTTTCATTAAAAAAATAGTTTATGGACTAAATCATTCAAAATGAGAAAGTTTGTTGGGTTTTTTAGACTTTTCCCTTTTTTGTACACATATTTTTGTATTTTGTTTTTATTAAGATTTATTTTAAATTAGCAAATATATTTATTTAACTAGAAGAGTACTCACGCAATGCAGCGAGATACATCTCGATTTTAATGTTTTATTTTATTATTTGTCTCTGTCGATGTTATAATACGATTTTATGTGTTTTTAAGAAATCAATAATGATTTTATTTTTGAATAAAATATAAATTTATAGATATCATTAAAAATTAAAAAATATATATATATATATCTATGTTAATATCAAATCAACTATTTAAAATTTTTCAATTTTATGTAATTTCTTTATTTATTTTTTTATTATAATTTAATTTACGTTTAATAATAAAATAATTTATTTTTGGTTTAATATTATAAATTTTATAAATATAATAATTAAGTATTCTGTTAGAACTAATGATTATCCTAATTATATTTTAGATTTTTTATATTTAAAATGAGATGTTTATCCTCTATTTTATTATGTTTATCTGCATTTAGTTACACAAATTCAGATATGAAGCTTTAATAAGTTGTATGTACACACATTCTACTTGTAATCTTGAGTTTTAAGTAATATGCGTTAATAAACAGTACTTTACACATAAAAAGTGGATTTTAAGAATTTTTGTCAAATGCTTTATAATATAGCATAGACAATCTATAAAATAAACATCTCGTTATATACTCTCTAGAATGAAATTTCATTAATAAAAATTAATTTATTATGTTTGGATTATTTTTTATATACATAAATTAATATTAAGTTGTAACTTGTAAATTAATAACTATACAATATCTTTCTATTTTTTTTAAATATCACTTCTCCGTAACCCCTACTATCTCCAAAACCAACATAACTTTCCAACATTCTGCATAATACTCATAATTTTCTAAATATTGTTCAATCTCTACATTATTATTTACTATAAGGGTACTCGTGTAATGCATGGTTTAGTTACATAATTCTTGTGTTTGTGTGGGCATCTTGGCTAAAAATGAAGGTGGAACCATAAACCATTTTTATCAAGAAACTTCCCTGTTACTGGTAACTGTAGAGATTACCAAACAGTTACCCGGTAAGTACTTATCGGTAAAATTTAACACTATTATTTACTTACTGGGTAAGATTTTAATCTACTAAAACGACATTGTATACAACAATTTACCCGGTAAGCACTTACCTTGGTAAAAGTCGTAGCCCTTACTTACCGGTAAGTGATGTTTGGATGACATGCAGAATCCAACATCTCTTACTTGGTCACAAAAAGATAAGATTTTTTAGTTCAAGTCTGAAAGAAAATGTTGATAAAAAGGGCCCAAAATGTTTACATGTACCAAATCCATTTGTTATTGGTTTTTTCTTTGGTTTAAAGGTGTTAAGTGGTATTATTTAAGTTTGTGGTCCAAAGTGTCAAAATGGAGAGATAGGAAAGTGGTTATCTAAATATGATAATTAACTTCATCAACTCTTGCAGCTCTTCCATTTCACCAAGCAAAGAAAACAGCTTTTATGACTCGAGATCTTGACCATAGAAAACAGCTTTTATGACTCGAGATCAGAACAGCACCGAATAGTCAAGAGAGAATTGCGGGAAAAAAAACAACCAACTATTGACGAAAAGCGAGGAGCACTAGTCGACATTGACCAGACAACTTGCCTTTTCCCTTCATCATTTTCACACCGTCTGCTCACTTGATTAATTAATTAGTGGTATATTTGTCATTTATTTTTCCTTCAGAAAACCTCTTAATTGTCTTGTAATCTTTTAGTTAATGTGTATCAGTTTCTAGTGAAAAGCTATAAACAAAGCAGGCCCAGTTTTCACAACCAAAACAAGAGTCGAGTTTGCAAGGTTGAGGCTAGTTAAGAGAGATGATTACACCAACAGCTGCTGTAGTAGCAAACCAACATCAAGAACACAGCAAATCAGCAACAAGACAGCACCAGAAACTATCGGTCGAGAACTGCAGTTCACACTACTTGACAGTAACATCATTTCAGTGAATAATTTTTTCTGGAATTTGAAGAGCATCCCATTTACCTGCTTGATAACTTGCATATTGACAGAAATGTATGACGGACTTCCTGGAACCGAAAACGTTAATTCACATAATGTAGGTGAAGTTTTTGCCTGAAATGCAGATCTCATTGTTGAAGAAGAAGAATGTTTGACTAATTGGCACTAGGATTTTAAGTTGCAACAGGTTGGAATTAGATAAAGATTATATATGTAGGGAAGAATGTAACATTTGAATATAATGGATGTGAATGAGAACCACGGATCCCACGGCACTTTTAAGAAAAATATCCAAGAAGAGATTATAGATTACACTAAGTTTTAAGATTCCATATCTTCGGGCATTTCTTGAAGCAAAACATCAATTAATCATAGATCACCTAAACCYGGTTCTCATATCTTAACAATTTAAGTTACTATGAAGCAAAAGACAAAACTTTACGTCCAACAAGATATATATCTCTGCTGATATGGAACATGAGAGTCCTGTTCCAACCTCGTTACATGAATGACCAAAGGCATATCGTCCAAGATCCTGTAAGAACAGTTGAAAATGAACGAAATGTGATATAACCCATTGCCAGAAATTTGGTCATATTGCAAGATTCTGTCGAAACAAAACAGCAGAAGAAAGAAATAACAGTTTCATTTATAAGGAAGACGATGATACCATGTTTATGATACTCAACACGCAAGAAGTTTATACAAGCAATACTTGGTATATAGACAGTGGATGCAGCAACCATATGACAGGAAATAAGAGTATTTTTGTTCAAATTGATAAAACACAGAAAAGGGAAGTCAGAACAGGTGATGATGACAAAAGGCTGAATGTTCAAGGTTTGGCAGACATACTCATTGACACCATACATGGACAGAAGAGGATTTCCAGTGTTTACTACATTCCTGAATTAAAACATAATCTGTTTAGTGAGGGACAACTACTACAAAATGGTTATGATTTACACTTTAAAGAGAAGATATGTGAAGGGACCAATATGGAAGCCTTATGGGAAAGATCAACATGACAGGTAACAGGAAAGAAGTAACCTCTCCTCATTTAAAAATAATATATATGGGGGGGGGGGGGGGTTGGACGATTGATAAGTCCAAAGACGCAGAAACAACTTAAGAATTTTAAACAATAAAATGGGAGTGACTAGCAATGAGCATCAATCAACTAATCCTTTGGAATCTGTATCATCGACTCATTCAACCAGTTTTCTCAAAAAAAAGTTGGTTAGGACATCGATACACGTCAATATTCTATTTGTTATAAAAGCATGATCAGACTTGAACACTCCACGACTAATCTCTAATTAGCTAATCAAACCTAGTCACAAACTTAGAGTTAAATTGCCAATTGCATTAACGTCAAGCGTCAACATTTAACATAAATATCAATTGTGTATCGTGTGCTACTTAGATAAACCGAAAAGCAGTTACGGACTTAAAAGTTCATCTAGAGACTTGAAATTGAATTAGACATATAAACGGATCGTACTCAAAATATCCAACTCAAAACAATAAACTTGTAACTCTAAAATCGCATAAATGGTTTCAAATGATATTAAAATCACCATAAGTCTCTACTAATCCAAATTCAAAGTAAATCACATACTCATTACCAAATCGACCGAGAGCTCCCAATATCTGGAAATCTGCTTACCGTTTCTTCCCGATTTCTGGTTCTCGTTCCTCTCGTTCGACAGTCTCTGCTTCTTCTCAGTAAACAGTTTCTGCTTCCTCTCTCTGCTGTCGATTTCTGATCAATCCCTCTCCCGATCGGCTTCCTATCTTGCTCCCTCCTTCTCGACAGTTTCCCGTCTTGCTCCCTCTCAATCGATCGAGTTCTGCTCTCTTTCTCTGTTTCTGGTTCTGCCCTTCGATTTCTATCCTCTGGTTCTCGTCCCCGTCTCCCTCTCGACAATTTTTCCAATTGATCCCATAAAACCGCCAGACGTGGCTGCTGTTTCTGGGCTGCAGCTTCATCATGATAATTCCAAATCTGGAACAACATGATCTTCGTTTCAAGAAATAGAATAATAATACGTAATCATAGAGATCCTAATTGACATCATGTTTAATTACATTTCAGAAGTAGCATGAAGAATCAACGGTGTAGGGTGTTTAAAGATGAAACCACGCCATTTATCTGAGTCCTCATGCATGGATGGAAATTAACTTCAATGAAATATCCGTAACAACTATGTCTCATAAATCCATCTTCATACCTGTGGTTTTTTTCTAGACCTCAATTAGTGCTCGAAAGATATGCATTTAAGGTTCAATTTATATGAAATCATGAGTTATGTAAAAACACCACCTTTGAATAGTACTCAACCACAGCAAACTTCTTCATATTACCATATCCTGCACCTGCTGAGTCCATTCTTGTATGATAGCTTCATAAACATGACATCCCTGAAGAAACAAAATGAAGCATGTTTAAAGAAATAGTCATGCAACAGATTCATATCCCCACTTGATTCATGTCAAGAATAAGTAAGCACCTCATTTTCAGCCCCTCTTCGTCTCTACATCCTGTTATTGATGCAGTGCAGTAAGATCCATTCGTGCCAACAAGAGAAAATATGGTATGGTACAGTACAGTACAGCAGCCTCCTGTTGTTGTAGTTGTAGTTGTGGTTGTTCCGTCTTCTGATCGAACAATTTTCAGACCTCCTAACAATGAAATGCTCGCGGGAAGATTATTTATGCTTGTACCTCGTATATCCAACTTTTCTGAACATTCTAAACGTCCAAGTTCCTCTGGCAATTTCTCAACTCTAATACAATAGTAGAGACTGAGATCCTTTAGACTTTTCAACCTACATATGCTGTTCGGAATATCTCGTAAAACTTTGCACCATTCAATTTGTAGAGTCTCTAAACATTCTAATTGGCCAAGCTCCTCCGGTAACTTCTCAAGAAGCATACAATCAAAAAGATCTAGAAATTTCAGATGTTTCAACGATAAAATGCTATCAGGAAGATGTTTAATACTTGTAGACCTGAAAGCGAGCTGCTCTAGACATTGTAAGTTGTCAAGGTCTTTGGGCGCCTCTGGAATATCTCCCTCGAGTGTAAGGGATCCTAAGTGCTGTAAACCACAAATGCTTTCGAAAAAACTCTCAAGGTCCGTGCAAGCACAAGAGGAACCCATCGAAATAAGCTTCTCAACATTTCCAATCAATAAGGGTAGATCTTCCTCATGTGTACAATCAAACTGAAACTTGGGAAAATTATCATTGGGGTGCAATGGGCATGTATTTATCAACTTTCCATACAGATATAGGCTAGGTAATAATAATCCATAACAATATGTGTTGATATTTAAATTTGTAAACCTCAAAAAACCTTTTGCTTTTAAGTTGGTGAGCTTTTTTAGGCCTCCAATGGGAGCAAGAAGTTTTAGCAAACTAGAACATTTTTCAATGTGTAAACTCTCGAGATTTGGAGTTCCCCCAAGGTCAAGGGTCTTCAACTTTGAGCATCCTTTGATGTCCAGAGATTTGAGCATTACGTCTCCAACGGGGATGTGAAGTTCTACCAAATCACAAGATGTAAGAATCAATTTCTTGAGATTTCGGGTCAGCTCAAGGGTACTCAACTTTGAATTAATCACTTCGAGTTGTTCATATCTGACGGAATCGAGAAGTTGTACCAAATCATCATGCCCATCAAGAGTCAAAGCCTCAAGATTCCGAGTCATCCCAAGGTCAAAGGTCCTCAACTGTGGACATCCAAGGCTGAGGGTTCTTAGTTTGCAACGTTCATCGTGCATGCGAAGTTCCACCAAATTATAACATCCTTGAAGTTTTAATGTCTCGAGATTCGGAATTGACCCAATGTCAAGGGTCCTCAACRTTGGAATATCRAGGACAAGGGATTTGAGTTGTTGACATTCAAGGAACATGTCATGTTCTACCAAATAATCACATTCTTCTAATTTCAATATCTCGAAATCCGAAGTTGGTCCAAGGTTAAGGGACCTCAAAGAAGGTGGACAACTCAAGTCGAGGGATTTGAGATGTGGACATTCACGGTGGATGTAAAGTTCTACCAAATCCCTACATCCATGAAGATTCAATGTCTCGATATTCGGAACCAACCTAAGGTCAAGAGACCTCAACTTTGAACCACTCAGGTTGAGGGATGTGAGTTGTGGACATTTACATGGCATGACAAGTTCTACCAAATCACAACACCCATTAAGATTTAACGTCTCGATATTCGAAACCAACTTAAGGTCAAGGGACCTCAACTTTGGACTACTGACGTTGAGGAATTTGAGTTGTGGACGTTCACATGGAATGTGAAGTTCTACCAAATCTGAACATTCCATAAGATTCAACGTCTCGATATTCGGAACCAACTTAAGGTCAAGGGTACTCAACTTTGAACTATTGAGGTTGAGGGATTTGAGTTTTGGGCATGGAAGAGGCATGTGAAATTCTACCAAATCATGACTATATTCAAGATCTAATATCTCGAGATTTGGAGTTAGCCCAAGGTCAAAGGTCCTCAACTTTGACCAACGGAGCTCAAGGAATCGGAGTTTGGGAAGAACCTATGATAAGAAAAAGAAAAGATGGAGAGTGTGTAAAAAGAGAGCAATAGATGTGTAGTGTCATAATATATAAATGATGCAAAACCATTACTCTTACCTTTCTCTCTCCCCCTTCCCAAAGTTGTTTCATGCCCCAAATTTCAAGAGCAACAAGATTACTTGCTTGAAATGCTTTTGGTAAAACATGAAAAATGTCATGTTTCAACGTTAGATATTGCAAAGAATCTGGTAAGTATTGGACATCTTCATCATACTCCAAATCTTTTGCAAAGGTGATCACGTGAAGAAATCTAAGTTTCTCCATCTTTCTAAGGCCTTTCATAATAGTTTTTTTGTTGACTTTTGGCATGATCAGCTTTATACATGTTGCTTCAGTCCCCTGAAATCCAAAAGTATTGACCATGAAACTTACGGATGTAAATGATACCAGACAACTCGCCAACTACTCGAGATCGACTTGGTCAAAACTCGGTCAACACTCGACTCCAATAGGCTCCGCTCAAATTAGAACTCGACTCGAAATATATTAACGAGTTGAGTCGAGCTACCCAATACTCGACTCAAAAAGCTTGTGAGATACTCAATTTTTGTATATATAATTAGTTTTACAAATATAATCAGTTTTATAATATAATATGTACAATATAATGTAATAGAAACGTCTTATATTTATAAATATTTGAACAATATTGGACATTTTTAACTATAAAAACTAATCAATANAATATTTGAACAATATTGGACATTTTTAACTATAAAAACTAATCAATAATTTTGTCTACTAAAATCATAATTAAAAAAAGGGAAAATTAGTTTTACAATATAATTTGTACAATATAATGTAATAAAAACGTCTTATATTTATGAATAATTTTTTGAGGAAACCAACTTTCAAAATCGTCATTTTGGGGAACCAACTTGCAAACGATTCTTATTTTGGGGAACCAACTTTCAAAATCGTCATTTTGGGGAACCAACTTGCACCTGATTCCTATTTTAGAGAACCAACTTTCAAAATCGTCATTTGGGGAACCAACTTGCACCTGATTCTTATTTTAGAGAACCAACTTTCAAAATCATCATTTTGGGGAACCAACTTWCACCTAATTCCTATTTTGGGAAACCAACTTGCAAAATAATTATAGAAAAATAACTAAATTTTTTTTTTCCAAAAATTAATGCAATAAAATTTATTTTTCATTTCAAATCTCGTTTTTTTTAATTCAGATATCAAATTGAACATTTAAAAAAAAAAATCCAAATTACCACAATAAAAATTGTTTTTTACTAATGCAAAAAAAAATCAACTTAATAGAAAAAAATTAATTGATACGGATTGGTAAGATATAAAATTCTTGAATGTGATATTTAATATTTATTTTTTATTGCATCAATTAATTTTTTTCTATTAAATTGATTTATAGGAATCAGGTGCAAGTTGGTTCCCCAAAATGACTATTTTGAAAGTTGGTTCCCCAAAATAGGAATCAGGTGCAATTTGGTTCCCTAAAATGACGATTTTGAAAGTTGGTTCCCCAAAAAAGAAATTAGGCGAAAGTTGATTCTATTTTGGTGTAATTTTCCCTTAAAAAAGACAAAGAAACTACAAAATTTTTGCTGAAGTTGTCCCACATTGGAATAGAGATGGTAAAAAAAGAATGAAGAGGTGTTATAAAAAGAGAGGGACGTTAATCAAGTTTGTAACTTTGTTTTTTTGATGATGAAGTTTAAGGTGCATCTCTTTAATCATTTAAAATTTAAGAGAACACATTTAAGTTTTATATCCCTAAAATTTCATAAATTTTGACGGGTGAGCTTGATTCGAGTTCGAGTTGGAGCTTCATCCGAGTAGGAGTTCGAGCTTGAGTTTAAAAAAGTGCAATCAAGTTTGAGTCGAGTCTAGTTTTAACTACTTGCGAGTTTTTGAGTCGAGTTCGAACTTGAGAAATGGCTATCGAGTTTGAGTCAAGTATATTGATACTCGAGCTCGACTCGCATCATTTACACCCCTTGTGAAATTTACTTAAGTCATGCTGATTAAAAATTTGTTGGTTTTTTTCAACTTTACAAATAAGTTTGATTCTTACCAAATCTTTAACCAATATATCTTCAATTTCCTCCGCAATCCACAATCGAGAGTGTCTTCTAGGCTCATTAAGGTTCAAACGATGAACAATGTATCTCCCCATTTCTTCTATATGGTCATGCATCGTCAAGTACCCATCTTTAGAAATAGTTACGAGAGATTTGTTCTGAAGAACAGTCAAACCATGTATAGCATGAAATCCACGGCTTTCAAGCGCTATGATTGCTTCTTCTTTCACCCAACCTTTCAATAGGCATGCAACATCTAGGAATATTTCCTTGCAATCGGTATCAAGACCCATATAGCTTAACTCCAGCTTTTGTAGAGTTTCATGCAATGGAATTTTTTCAAGTCTTGCGAGGGTATCTATCCATACATCCTCGTTTGCATCACAGAGAAACGAACCCAAAACTGTGATTGTTAAGGGGAGACCAGCAGCATAACCTACAACGTTTCTTGATAGCTCTTCGTACCCAGGATTTGGACTCTCTTTCCCAAATGCACGCCTACTCAAGAGGCAAATTGCTTCGTCATCTGTTAATAGATTGACATTGTGAATATTTGAGTTCACTACTTTGTGTGCTACCAACACTTGCCCATCTCTTGTTGTGATGATAATTCTACTTCTCTTACCAAACCAATTAAGCTCACCCGCTAACGCCTTTAGTTGGTCTACATGATCCACATCATCAAGAACAACAAGAACCTTTCTACAACACATCATCTTTTTTATCATCTTTTTCCCATCATGAACATTACTTATA